GGGCTTGCCAGGGCAGCATCGGTTGGACCCACCTCAACACCTGGCCATCGGCGTCCCGACAGGTTTGGGGCCCATGCAGCTTTTGGGGGGGGGGGCGGGCGGAGGGCGTGCTTTGCGAATGGAAGCACGGGGGCAGCATAAAATCCTGGGCTTGCCAGGGCAGCATCGGTTGGACCCATCTCAACACCTGGCCATCGGTGTCCCGACAGGTTTGGGGCCCACTTGGCTCTTGGGGAGGGAAGCGGAAGGACAGGGGACCAAATGTAAAGTTGATAATTTACTCCGTTAATCCAACAGCCACCTTTTGACATGTAAGGCAAATCCTGCCCTTTATCTACATATCTCGATAATAAAATTCAAACTGACGAAAACCCTCGTCTCTGTCATCCTTCCTGGGGAGAAACAGCGTAAGGAAGAGGCAGGAACTGCTGGCAGTTCTCTTGGGTAGGAAAGGGGCAGATCGCTGTTACTTCCAAGGCCGGCAGAGGAGAGCTGGCCCGCTGCACGGGATCTCCCTGAGCTGCCTTTTAATGTCTGTAATTGGATTGGCGTCCAGCCAAAACTTTGATGGGTCACGTAATCAGTGAAAACGGTGGGATCGGCCACCTCCCTTCGCACCCCCTGCCAAAGCGGAAAAGTTAACCAGCGCAAACCTTCCTCGGAGACCCGAGCGGAAAATAAAGGGCCGGGCCAGGCGGAAAGGTGCTAGAGCTCCGTTGGCCGTGACTTTCTGGAAATCCTCTATCGCGTCCAGTTGTCTTGGCCCTTTTTCCTCATCTGGTCACTTGGCAAGAGCTGCTAGGAAGTGAATATTTATGAAACTTAAGGATTGCTGTAACCCTGTCACTTTAGGCTGAACATGAATGTCAAGAGCAAAAGCGGAATCTATTAACCATTGAAACCGAATGATTAGAAATACCTTCTGCTATGATATCAAAGGAAATTCAAAGGACGTTTAGGATTTAGTGAGCAGGGAGGAGGGAGCGCTATTAATTCCGCTAGCATTTCCGTATCAGGACTGCAAATCATTCCACCGACGTCTGTGGTGACTCTAACAGTACCCTGGTGCTCACACGAAGGAAATCCAAATGGTTTTTGACCAGGGTTGTGCTTTTTTATTTGGTAAACCCCATAACAATTAACCTGTAATATCAGCCTAAATTGTTTAAGATTTGAGTTTAAGTGTAAGGTTCAACTGCTTGAAAACAAACAAGAAATATAATTGCTGTTAAAAAAAAATCTACCTTAACTTTGTGTTGAATGGACCTAAATACATACATTTTTCCTTCCTAAAAAAGTAGAATTGGCTAAAACTATCAGATACAAAATAAAAGACAATGAAGGTAGAAGTTATAATAAAGTACAATGTGAAGTATCAGAAGACAGTAATGGAAAAATTATGCTAGTACTCCAAGCCAGAGGGAATACAAAATTTCCCTTCTGCTTGAAAAAGCAGTTTCCTTTTTTTTTTTTTTAATTCTAAGGAGAGAGAAAACTTTACCTGGATTAGTTTAGACTCAGGTGAAACTAGCTCTAGGTTAAATCAGCATATAAATTAATATTAAATAATTAAGTGCTCTTATCAATGAAATAACTATTCTTATCAGTACATAATTATGATGCTGTATATTAGTTCAATATTTCCCACTCCTGAAATGGATTGAAGTTCGGGACAACTTTTTTTTTTTATTTTTCAATAGTAAGTGATTATTTCATACTCAATTGTCATTTTTTGAATTATAATGTTATAATTAAATGAACTCTTCGGTTTGGGAAGCGAAAATGATGACTTACATAAACAGTGGTTGACGGTGTCTAACTGTTCATTTGGTGGAGGAAGGCTAGAGGCGATATTTCACCCCCCACCCCCGTCTGAAGCTCAAGGCAGGGGTTTGTTTTTACCAGGGGACAGAGTCCTGTGACAGGAAGCGGAAGATGCGCCCTCCTGAACCGGTCTTTAAGCAGCGCCGCTCCCCACGCTCGGTGGATCCCCTCAGATCAGGAATCCTTCACAAGGATAAGGTCAAAAACCGGCGGCTCTTCAGATGGTGGTCATCTCCAGGGCCCAACGTTCTTGGCTCCTTTGGGCTTGGAAGAAGCGAAATCCAACTTCCGAACTGCTAGCCTCCGCCCAGCGCTGCCTGACCGTGCCGGGACAAACTCGGAGCCTTCCACACCGGGCTTTTTAGAGGGGCAACGCGGCGTGACCCCAGGGAGTCTGCTTCCGGTGAGGCTGGAGAACTAACACCTGCAGCTTACGGGGACATTGCGGCCGAAAGGCAGCTGGATGTGGATCCAGACTGTCCATAATTCTCTCTGGATAAAAGAGAGATCTTGAGATTTCCCTCGTGCATTCCGGACAGCTGTTTTTTTTTTTGGTGAGTTGGCAGCAGAAACTGTTGTTTTTGCAGCCGCTTGCGATCAGCTGGGAGTCGTGGGTTGCATCAGGCTCTGAGCCGTGCATGTAGCCTTTTTAAGGACTCAAAGTTGGTCCAAAGCTCGTATTTTTTGAGCAACGCGACGTGACCCCGGCGGTGGTTTAGGCAGCCACTGCAGAGATCAGAAGTGAGTAGCCCTTCAGGGGAGGGCGCCCCCCCCGTCGCTTGCAAGGAGGGAAGAGGACACATCTGGGAGTGAGGGTCTTCAAAGCGTCCTGGTAAAGCCAGGGGCCCCTGGAAAGAGACCGCTTCCTCTCCTGCGTTCGCAGCGGCTGCCCGCTTTCCGATAGCCAGATTTTTCCCATCCCTTACCGGGGCAGAAAACTGTGGGTGGGCGTGGGCGTTAGGAAGTGGCAGGAGGGCGCAGTTGCCGGTGAGACCTGCACCCGAACACGGTTGCACGACACATTCCCTGCCGCCAGGGTTCTGCCAGGATCCGGTGCAGGCCCAGTGGGGGAAAGCTTTCGCGCCTTGCTAGACCGAGGCGGCCTCTGCAGGTTGACACCAAGGCGTCGAAAAGACCCCCTTCGGGCCCTTCCATCTCCGGGAAATGTGAGTAGGTAATGCCTTGGAGCATGGGCAGAGCGCCCACTCCCAATATGCATCCGTATTTCGCCCGGATTAGAGGGAGATGGGCTTTCAGGTGACCCCTCCTGACTTCCCGGACCTCTGATTTAGGCATAAAGTTCTGTGTGATTCTGCACCTTGGAGCCTCTCTTTCTCCTCCCCAGTGTCTTTGCGGGGGAGTGGGGGGGGGAACAAATTATCGCAGAAGTGCAGAAACGTCAATGTAATTAGCATAATCGTTTAGAGTGATTGCACCATTCTTCGGCGAGCAGCTGGGCTGAATGCTACCTTCGCGCATTCTCCGGTCTTGTACCCTTTCCCACAGGAGTGTCGGGAATGGAGCCTTGAATGCCCCCGAGGGAGCCACAGTGCCCCATCCCACCACGATCTAGGGTTTTACTACGGCCTTCGGCAGACTTCACCCCTCCCATACGTTGCCCTTGGAAGCTAATAACGTAATTATTGTAAATCACACATCTATGATATTTTTAATGGGACAAAATGAGAGTTCTGCTGTACTAAATAAGTACTTCCCCGCTCCTGGGGTGGGGGAATCGACGAGAGAAACGTCTTTCCAGAGGCTGCCGGAGCTCGGGCTCCCCTCCCTCGGTCCTTCCCCCTCCTTCTCAAGCGGAGGCATCTGTTCTGAGCGATTGGCTGAAACTCCCCGGTCTGCCTGAACCGCTCCAGCCTCGAGTGGTTACTGTGCCTCACTAGGGGTAGCTCCCGCTTAGGCACTGGGCTCAGACTGGAACTTACTGGAACGTTCACTCGGTAAGAAATTAGAAGGGGGGGGGGAGAAGGTTTGGATCGAGTGCCTGCCCCTCCCTGTCTTTTCCCCTACTTGAGAAGCGGCTGCGAGCGGGGTTGTCTAACTGGCTCAGGTGGGATTAAGCCACCAAACTGACTGGGGAAGCAGCGGTGCTCAGGCGCCAGCATCTCGCCGCGTTGAGTCGGGGGGCGGGCAGGCGGCCGGCCGGCCCCGAGAGCGGCGCGACCCCTCGCGTTTCAGGGGATGGGAGGGAATACGCGTGTGCGGCGGCGTGTTTGGCT